GACCAGTCAAAAGTTCCAATAATGAACTTGTTAAAAGGTCTAAGAAAGACGTCCCATTAATATGGATCTCCTGGGCACTGTATTTAGCTATTTGATTAAGTGCCTCATTTTCTTTAGCACCGGCCTCATCACTAGGACCATTCTCTTCACATGGCATATCTAATGTGGAAGCTCTTAAATAGCTGCAGTGCTTTGTGTGTTTAACGAATGTTATGTCTATATGCGGGTGAAAGGTCGTACAGTTCTGCACAATGACCTTTTTGATAATTATCATTTCTCCGTGCATTTAGCTAGCGATGTCTTGAATTACACTTCTTAACCGTTAAGATCGACGTGAATTCTTAAATATTATTTTGCAAGGTGCTGTGTGCGAGTCGCTGCAGATGTCATCTCCAAGTCTGAGATGCATCTCGCTTAATCCTTAATGAGCGAGCGATTACCATGGATATATTCGTACCAGAAACAACCTAATCTAAGCCATAAATAAATTACATAGTATTACTGCCGCAATGTGGCAACACTCGACGCTTACAATCTTTATCAGATAAATAGGTTTCCTCAGCAAGGAATGCGACAACTAAAGCAAATTCTCTTCTGTCTGGGTGGTAGAAGTCCTTTGATCTCAATATTTCTCCATTGTAGTGCACTTAAGCATCTGCTATCCAAGTCTTTTCGCACGCGCTTTGTTCAATAAAGGATGAATGTCAATGAGCGATATGTTCTCTTCCATACAAATGTACCACTTTAACATGTTTGTCAACTGATGCATTATTCAGAGCTACAACAACGCGCACTCGTTTGTTCTTCATCGCTAAGACTGTGAGACTGCGTAATTTCGACAGAAGATAGAATTTCGGCAATCACACCCTTATATATGCTTCTGTGCACAACTATTGTATGCATATCTATTGAAGTGTTCGAACAAATGGCTTCGCACGTCCAGTGGTCTGGTCAATAATGCACACGTTTCAAGTCACGTTCCCACTGCGTGAAAATGTAACTTAATCACTGATAGACCGTTTTTCAAGTTACAGACGGCATTTGCAAACAATGTATGGTATATTAATGGGGCGAAATTAGCAGTTGATAAAAAACGTATAGTTGTTTACGTATCCGGCCCCACACTAGACGAACGGTTACTTCAATTAATGTATTGCTTGTATATTTCATCATAGCTTTCATTTATACTTGACTGACGTACTCAACAATGCACCCTTTAGATCACCAATCGGCTCACGCTTGAGATTCAGTAACAAGTCAAAAATACTGGAGTTCTGCAACGAAAAAGTCGCCTTTCACGGTCTTGACGAGACATTTCTCATTAACTACAAGTGCGTGCTTGTTTGAAGTTGACAATTAAATCCCATGGGGTCACTTTAACAGCAAGTTGGTCATGAGAATCAAACGTCGCGTGCTTGACACTTCATGAGCCGTTGTAAATTTGAGTTGCTAAAGAAGCCATCGATCTTGAGTGTAATTACAACAGCAGTAAAGTTTTGCTTGAGTTCTAACGCATTTCAAAATTGACCCCACACAGCTAAGAAAGACCCAAGTGGAAGGCTTAATTGATGCGAATCCATCACCACCATATCAACTCAGTCGAGTTTAAGAGTCCATTTGCTCCACTTCACCTCGCAGTCGAAGATGAAGCACAACTTGAAGCAGTAGCACGAATATTTGTTCAGAATACTGTTGCACAGTACGAAAAATTTATCGCGCAGGATCAACGAAAAGTCGATTGTACCCAGTGGAAGCGTATCAAGCATGAACGAGACCTGCGTGTATTCCTGCAACGTCGACAAAAAGAAGTTGAGCGACGTAAACGACGCCACCAGCGACTTCGCAGTATTCGACCTCGCAACTCTGAAGCTGTCCATTTCTCAGACTCTGATTTATGCAGTTCCAGCGTTGGTAGTCGCAACAGCACTCGCAGTAGTGTCTCCAGCTTATTTGATCGACGTACTGGCAGTTTTGCAAGCAATTTCAGTCAAACCAATGGCTCCGAGAGTAGGTCACCCGTATATAGCGACGATTCTGATAGTTTTGTTGGACCGTCGACACTGGAGAGCGTAGAGTTACCAGTTCTTCAGCTCGTCGGCTCTGTGCCAGGATCGATGGATGATGCAATGTACGGCTCTCTGGGCGCTACAGTAGACGCCATGCGTGTGAAAAGTGCTTACGAGCGCAAAAATACGACAGCTAGTGCTGTACTTGCTACGATCAATACTCCGACTACAAATGACCCGTTTCGATCTTTAACGGTCAAGTGGATTGAACAGGAAGGCCCAACCATCGATCATCATCGATTCCACCCCCTTCACTACCCAATCACGTTTCCTGGGGCAGGTACTCGCGAAGATTTAGTCTTTCTGGAAGCAACTGGTACCACCCGGTTGATCACAGGGGAGCGAATCGGGTATCAATTGCGCCATTCGGTCCATTTTCCCCAGACTCATATTCGACAGAACGTGAGACGAGGGAATATGTCTACATGTACCCTCTTTCGCGACGGAGACGCCAAAAGTCTCAATGCTTCGGATGGTCCATGTCGTGGATCTGTCGAAGTCTTTGCACGTACTTGTTTGAGTGGTGGAAACGCTGCAGTTCGATCTGCTATCACCCAATTGGCAGCCACTGGTGCTGTTGTGCTTTGTGGGCGCATGAAAAAACTAGCATGGATGTTGGCACAGCGTCAGCCGCCAACCCAACACATGATGGGTTGTATTGCTCATCAAAATAGCCTTGCGAGTCTCACACACTCTATTCCACCACAAAAAGGTCGACATGGATCGTTAACTGTCACAGTTCCTGCTGCCGCTGCCGCTTCGACAGCAGCTACAGACAGCAAATTGTGTGTCACGTGCAAGAAACGCGGTCCATGGTTTCGAGCTTCTAGTATGAAGAAAAAGCCAACAACAACTTGTCAATTGTGTTGGCGATACGTGTGCTCTTCGTGTCGTTTGAAAAAGACCGTCACGAGTTGTGTCACTAATACAAGATGCGACGACCATCAAATTTCACACGTCATACAGCGTAACGTGACACTGTGTAATGTTTGTGTACACCAATCGATGGTCGTGACTAGTGCGCGCGATGTTGCTCGTGAAGAGATTGAAGCTGATCCAAAACGTTGGCAATATCCATCCTCAACGCACGCTCGTGAACGGGTTTCCGATGGATATTTACAAGAACATATTCAAGCCCAACTCAGTGGCTCTTCTCGCGTCACAAGTGCGATTCGTCCTGTGTCCATCGTATCGAGCACACAGTAATGACTTTCACTTTTGTTGTACATGATCACAATGACTAAAGATTCCATACTGTAACCTCGACGACCGAAGTGAAGGTCACTCGATTTAAGGAAAAACTTTTTTAAAAATGTAGTTACGAAGTTGAAGTGACACAGAACACAACGAATCATTCATTCGCTCAATTTTTGTTATTGTTATATCAGCAATCCATCCACTATAAGGTGTGCTTAAAAAATCTATCGAGCTCCCCGTGTTAAATGGTGAGCAAATTTTTGAATCGAAGAGATTACAGCTGGTATAGCAGCTGCTTGGTAAATGTTGTTCAGAAAGTGATTTTCGCAGTCCGTTCAGCAGCTTTGTGTGAAAAATTTGTAAAACTTAAAGCCATCAGGGCTACATGCCGGTGTTTTGTGTAATGATGAGT